CCTGCAGGGCAGAGTAGAGCGGAGCGGTCATCGTTTTGTCCCTCTTACTTGGCGGCTCATGAATGACAGTCAAGTGCGGCACATATGAAAGTGCACTTAAAAAAATTATAGCTATAACTAAAATTAAACAAAAATAAAATATTTCCCTTCAATTTAGAAAATAGTTTTACATATTTTATATCCTTTCGGAGTATTATAATATTACTCAGGCTTATAATTAAAAGAAGCGACCCTATAAAATCATATATTCTTGATCATCATCAAGAGATCTAGCCATCTCCAGCAGACAAAAAAATTGAAATTTTCCAATTTTCCAAATTTTATAAGGGGTTACATTGTTAAAATTCAAAAATTAAAAATTTTCAAATTATTACATTTTTAAATAGAGTATAGATATTACCAATAAAAACTAACATAGGAAAGCATTCCGAATTAAAATTAATCATTTTTTGGCATAGTTAAGAGTTTTTAAAGTTTAATTTAAATATACCAATTTACCATACCAATAAAAATATATATAAATTTGATTTAAGAATGCGAATATTTTAAGATAAGTTATAACAAACCTAAGGGTATATAATTTAGCTTTCCGACGTTAGTTTTCTTATTTTGCCAATTTTAATTAAATTTCTATATAGAACTTATAGATTTTTAGTAATTTGTTTATTTGGGAGAGAGTCCTGCAGAACTTTTCATTTTAGCTACGTCAAAAAGAGTTTTTTACCATATATTAAAGTTTTCCAAAGCATTAATAATCTTATATATGCACAATATATGCTTTAAAGAGAACCCCCACTAATATTTATAAAAAAAATATTTATTTATACTTTAAGTTATTTCTAATGTGTTTTTATTATTTTTATGAGCTTCCCCTTTTTTTGTGTACAATGAAAATGGCTTGAGAAGAGCGCGAAAGTCTCTAATGTTTGTGTGTGTACGAGTGTGTGTGTGTGTGTGTGTGGAGGGTGTTTGGGTTAATTTACGCTTGGACTTCCATAGTTTTGCCATTGAATTTTAAATTAAACTATATGAAATCTGAAGCGTAAGTATGACTTTCAAACTGCATTCAAATGCCGGAATGTGAGATAAATTATTCCTTAAAAAAAAGTATAAATATTTAATTGGGAATACTTATCTCAAATATAAATAATTTGTAAATTAACTTTTTTTTACTTTTTACAATGCATTGCAGGTCAAGGGTTTAAAATAATGAAATCGGTAAACTGAAAAGCAAGCATGACTTTTCAAGTTCTTGTAACTTAATGAATATTTATTTATTTATATTCATGAAGATTTGAAATAACTATCTTAAGAGTGTAACACAAATAAGCCACTTAATCTTATTAATTTATAAGCTACTAAACCAATACCAGTTAGTGTTTAATTAAATTTTATATTCAAAATTTCCAAAAGTATCATTTTCTAGATCTTATCGAACTCAACCATGGCTTAAAACTGGGTCATAGTTAACAGATGCACTTGGTTGTACTTAAAATTGAACGGATTTTCGCAAAATCCAATGGATGGCGAATGGAAAGTAAACAAATCATAAAGTATAAACCAAAATTGATAACAAATTGTCGAAGTCTTATCAAGGCAGCTAATCGTGATGATTAGCACTGAGTGAACACACACCAAAGGCCTCAAACACATGTAAGCTGATCAAAGTATTCGACTTTTCCATTTCGCATATTGTCGGGTAGTAACTCTCCCGGGCTCGAAAATCGAACCACTGAGGCAATAAAGCAATCAAGTGTCGTTATTTTAGCGAGTTTCCTTATTGGATTATTCGTTCTCTTCGCCACCGATATGTCTCGTGCGTATGCGGATTAGTGTTGAGGTTTTAGTTGGGGCCAAAAGTCACTTAACGGCGGCCGGCGATTATGTTGCAATGTATGCAAAAGTGGAGCATATTCTGTAGCCTATGAGGGTGTTTTTTCGAATCGGGTCAGTTCGTCGTTTCTCTACTTTAAATTTGGGTCTGGGACAGGGCTTTCCTCTTGTAATACTTTTTAGTGTTTAAGGAAAACGATTTTCCGCGATTCAAGCAGAGTTTGTCAGGTAGCGGTTGAGTGCCACAGCAGTCAGCTTTTAGATGGTTGCTTTCAATATTACGTATACGTAACGTAAGGCAAACTATCTTTTGTTGAATTTTAAATATAGTTTATAACATTTAAAGTGAAAACAAAACATTTTTTAATTGTTTTCTTTATATATAAATTTAAAAATATCAATATTTGTTATTATTCTTTTTGGATTGATCGATTTTTTTATTGAAATATTGAGAATGAGAATTATAAGATAAAAATGTTTGTTAAAAATATACATATATAATTAATAAATTAAATAAATAGATGGAAACAATTTAAATTATGAAATTTGTCTGGTTACTTTTTATTTAACTCATAAAAATCATACAACATTTGTATACTAAATTAAAATTATCATAAATGAAAGATTTCTCTTTAACCTAATAAATATAATTAATTGTGTTTCAAAGATTTCTTTATTTAAGGTGTTCTTCTTTGTACTATTTGTACGCATACTTGGCGTGCTTAGAATATTTTACATTTTATTTATAAAGAATAAATCATATTATTTTTCTTGATTATTCCCCAACATGTATGGGGTGCGAATGATTTGTGGAATTGGCAGCGGTCTCTTCCAGATGATGTGTAAATCGAAATTGAATAAGGATAATGAGGTAGCAAGTGGCAGCACCACTAATCTGTAAATAAATATAAATTATTATTACAATTGAATTTAACAATCTTAGAAAATAGGCTCACTGTAAAAATCAGAGTACGATCCAAACGAAACAAACCAGCGGCAGTGAACAGGACCTTTCGATGGGATAATTGCAAGGAAAGCCGAAAAAGGCGATCTCTCAGCTCTGGATCATCGGTGATATTCAATATCTTGTGAACTATAGCCGCCGTATGATTGCTATGTACAATCGTTCGACTACTGGCTTCCACAATCAGTACTATAATTACTATATACCAAATAAGTTGCATGAGAAAGAAGGCAAAAAATTTCATCTGTCTCGAAGACATCCAATCTTTTGGGATTCAAAATAGCTTCCAGTAAGTAAAAATCATCAACAGAATAAATAGAAAAGATATGGCAATGATGCCAAGCAGCGGATAGGTAAAATACTCCTCAATGGTTTGACAATATCGCAGAGAAGATTGTGTATGTTGGAGACTTGCTTAATGGCATATTCCGGATTGAGACGTATTATAGAGGTAACACTGTACCGCTTCATGGGAGTGCTAATCAAATTTCTTAGGCGATGTGAGTACCTCCTGTGATTAACCACCGAATGCATGGGGGAGAGTTCCAAGGCACTATACTGCTCAATGTGTGCATCCAAAATGTCCTGGAGGATCTGTAAGTATGCCATAATTAATATAGAATTTGCACTTTTAATAAATTAAGCTCTTTTAGCAGACAACTCACTTCATTTAACATGCTAAACCGACTTCTGGCCAAATCCGTGGTGCACAAAAACTTGAAGACCATCAAACTAATATTGATGTGCGGCAGGGCAAAGGTCGTAAAGGTCACAAACGAAGCGAGATGGTGGCACTGACCAGCAGGCCATAGCTCACACACAAATAGATGACATTAAAAAGGAGCATTCCCAGTGAGATCAGAAAGCTACAAAACAGTATCCTTCGGTAGTCCAGCTTCATGCCCAGCCTCACGAATATCTCATCCACCACGATGATGTTCTGGATGATGCTCACCAGGCGCTGCCTCTTGAACATGGCAAACCCAAAAATAGTGGACATGGCCAGGATGCCAGTCAGCCGAAGAGTTCCATCACCCAATCGTGTGATATTCGTTTGAAAAAAGTATCCTATTATGGAGTCTCCTTCCCTCACAGATATTCCAAAACACAAAACAAAGAACAGGAAGTGCACTATGCCGGCTATAAAGGAGTACGTTGATGTCTGCACTTCCTTCCGAGGATTCAAATTCAATCGAAAGGGAGCCAGGCCCAAAAGGGAGATATAAGTCAAGGGTCGAAGCGCCTGGAACACATTATCCGCTTGCGAAATGCGTTCCCACAACTTTAAAGTCATTTTCGTTACAAGATTCTTCAAGAATATCCGTATATATCTTGTTATAAATTCTATAGAGACACTTGAGTTATATATTTATATAGAGGGGTTTTGAATATTCCACCGACTGAAACGTCCACTCGATTCGCGTATTTAGCACCAACTGACAGCGGAAGTCCTCGCTGGGTTCTTGTGACAATGATGATGATTGCCTTTGTGCCAACTGTAGACATGGCTGATATATCATATATCAAATCGTTAAAGGGCTGTCTTACACACCTTCGCACACGTAATAAGCTAATACCGATACCGGCAAATATTTAATTAACCTTAAACGAGAAGGTGGCAGATAGATGGTGGACAAGGTCGTTTAACAAACATGGTTTAACGAGTTCAAAGGCCACTCTGTATTTTTTCGTGAATTTTAGTACTGTACTGGCTATTAATTACAATTGGTAAACATTTATGACAAGGCATTAAGTGGCCAAAAGTTGCCAATTTGTGGAAGTTCGTTTTTTTTTTGGGGTGCTTGGTATTAAGTAATTTGTTTGATGGTTATTGAGCTAAGTTAGAACAAGGAATATAAGTTCTTGTAACGCTAAATAAAATGAAATAATTAATAAATAATAAAAATTGTAGACAGTTGTGTCAATGTAAATAAATATTTATTTCAAGACTGCATTCAACTATTAATAAATTTAATTTCAAGCTTCCCAATTAGTTTCTTTTAGTCATCCAAAATTTAAACATCTTTAACGATTATTTCCATTTATTTCCAATCGTTGGCTTACATAGACATATATTAGGTACTTTTTGAAAGCAACAACAATAATAACATTTACAAAAAAATACACATTCTGCTGGACGTATTTTATATCATTTCACCCGCTCCATTAACTTCACATCACTTTCATTTCATTTCAAATCCATCTATAGTGTATGATTCGTCATATTATTGTAGGTGTCGCAGCAGGAGGAACTATTCCCATAGCCATTGTTTGGGGAATTGGATGTGAACTGCAGCAAGATGATGAGATAGGTGGTCAAGGCACCACTGATCTGTTGTAAGGGATAAAGTTTGAATATTAAAACAAGCTTGGTAAATTAATGAAGTAGGCCAACAATATGCATTCTTATGTGCAATAAATGTGGCCTACTTTTTGGGGCTTACAGATTACGAATATTTCTCACAGACTAACATAATTTGAAAATAAAATTTATTAATAAATATAAACTCACCGTAAAATACAATGTGCGATCAATATTAAATAGTCCCGCAGCTGTAAAGTTAATTTTCAAATGCATTAATTGCATGGAAAATTGCTGTAGCTTTTCCTTGACCTCTGCACTTTTGGTTTTATTTAAAAGTGAGTGCACTATGCCACCAGTTTTCTCACTTTTCTTTATGGCTCGATTACTGCCCTCGACAATTGAAACTATGGCAATCAGGTACAAGATCATTTGGCAAGAGAAGAACGTTACAAATTCCACTGTCTTGAATTTACTTTCACGCTTCGATTTGCCCAGCAAAGTTTCCAGGACATAGTAAGCATCGAAAACGATGATGAGAAAAGCTATGGATATAATGGTCAATAGTTGATAGGTGAAATATTTGTTGGCCGTTGCAGCTGCTTCGCAAATCAAATGATGTATCTCCATGGATTCTTGAATAATCTCAGCAGGATCCTTGGTTACAATGGTGTACATAGAAAAGGAGTCCAGACACTGGAGTGATCGTTGCTTTTGGGTAACTGCCTTTATGGACCGTGAGTCCCATTGATGCGCAAGGTTTTTCAATACCTGTTAGAATATAAAAACAAGCAAGATATTAGTTTAAAATCTTTCAAATTTAATCTTATTCTAACCATATTCATAGCACTTAGATATATCCGTAGTTTGATGAGTAAATTTCCCGACAGGAAACAAACGCCACAGACTATATAATGGGGTGAAAAATAACTAATCAACGAGGATATCGAAAATGTTGCTACATCCCTCAAACTGATCATTAGAAAGCTTCCAGTTATGTAGGCAGTCGTAGTGCCTACTAAGAATATGAGTAAGCGATTCATTTTCTTTGCTGCTGGTAACTGATGTAGGGCCAAACCCACTCGCGGAAAAGCCTCACGTTCGAGAACATCATAAATTTCCATCACTTCCACAAGTTTCCTTCGCTTCAGCAGTGATATCAAAAGTATGACAAAGATGCCCAACATTCCGTTAATTTTCTGCAAACCATCTATCACATTGGATACATCCGTGAGAAAGAAGTTGGACATCAGAGAACTACGATCAATGGTGCTGTAGAAGAAATTTCCCATATACAAGACCATTCGGATGAGGATGTTCACATAGCCAAAATAGGAGGCTGTTAGCTGACTTCTTCCTGAAGAATTGTTCACATAATAAGGCACAATCCCAAGCCAAAGTCCCATCAACAGGGTTGTGCGGTAACAGGTGTAGACGTCGTGTGGACGGTACTTTTCAACCAATCGCCCGAAGAGCCACATGGCGTATGAGTAATTTTTGTTTGGGCATTGGACTTGCAACGCACAAAAGTAGGATAGGAATCTTTCCTAATGAATTAAAAAAGCTTGGGACAATAATCTTCAATGCAGTTAATTAAACAGACAGCTAAGGCTGTCAATAAAACCGAGTTGGAATGACTAAACATCAAAACGGGATATGGTTTAGTCACAGGAATGGAAATATTGTTTGAGAAATATTGATTCAGTCCAAAGAAATATGAAAATTAGTTAGAAAATAAATATCTGAACAGTTATCTGAAATTTGGAATATGAAATGACAACATCAAATTCTATAAAAATAAGTGCTCCCTGTTTGTAATCCCTTAAATTTGTTTATAAAATTATCCTTTTCCATAACATTTACCAACCTGATTAAGCACATCGAAATGCTGCCAAAGACGATGTAAATTAGCTCCAAATAGCATCACAATGCTCAATAAAAATATTTGAGGAACATAGAAGGCCACTGCCGCTGTATAAATGGGTCTCACATCATTTCCCAACAACATCCACATAGAGCTTATCAAGTAAGCCAATTGAACACTTGTTATTAGAAAGATTTTCAAATGTCTCAATCTCATAATGGCCGAGTAATTAAAGCAGACTCCCAAGTTCAGGAAACGATCGTCTATAAAGGATATTCGATCCCAAATCTGAATCAACGATCGAACTCGAATGCAGCTGCAGAGGAACAAGATGGACATTCCCGTCATTCCAATGAATTTTTGCAGAGAGTCTCCCACTTGGGAGATTTCCGATTTAAAAAATATCCCACAATACTCTGCTGTTCGATTAAAGCCGAAAGGAAACAGTAACTGAAGAAACTCAACTGAATAAGGGCATTGAGGTAACCGAATTTACTCAATTGAAACTGCCTTTCACCTGCCTGACCCCTCAAACGAAATGGGGTCAGACCCAATAAATATGTACAAAATAGTAAAGTTTGCTCTGCTCCAAAGGCATCACGAGGACTAAACAATTCCCGATAGAAGTTCAACATTTTTGTTCCGTAAGAAATCTATTTCTTAATCGCACTAATCCTTTTGATTCCCTTGCATTTCCTTTTATAGCTTAACCCTGTAACTTCCTTCACTGATTAGTTTTTAAAGTATTTATGAGCCACACACCTTGCTGGTTGTCGTCATGGCTGGTTAAATATTATCCGTTTTGCAGCGATGACAGCTTGGTAATGGAAACCCGTCCATCACACACCGACAAAGTTCCCCTCTTTAATGACAGTTTATGAAATAATATAAAAAGTCGGTCTGGTTTGGGAGTTGTTTTTGTCTCAGTTCGCGGGTTCGGTCACGGTCGGTCTTGGTGGCGGCTAATTAATTTAATTGAATCAACTGAGTTTAATTGAAAACACTTTAAAGGGTTGGTTAGAAAGAGCTAGGAGGCTAGTTCCAGTTGTTTAGTTGTTCTGAGAGTCCCTTGGGGACATATTATTAATTGCGACATTTTTTTAGGAGTGAAATGAAGTACGAATCAAGGAGGAATTTATAGAATTACGATATATTCCCAAATGATTAATTATCAAAAAACGTACAAGTAAAATGAATAGAAAAACCTATATAATATAATAATAATAATATATCATAACAAGAAAGGAAACTAACTTTGGGAACTTTTCAGTTTGCAATTAAAATATAAGATAAAATCGGATATCCATCATAAATAAGTTTCTATGAACAGTAACTATGACCAATAATTAACTATGATCAGTAAGTATCAATGAACATTGAATTACTATCGAGTAAGTATCAATGAACATTAAGTAACTATGATCAGTAATTAACTATGAACAGTGAGTAACTCTGAACATTAAGTACCTATGAACATTAAGTAACTATGATCAGTCAATAACTATGATCATTAAATAACTATGATCACTAAGTATCTGTGACCTGTAACTATGTATAATTAGTTACTAACTTCGAACACTAATAAAGAATGACTTGCAACTTTTGTAACACACACATTTCTAAGACTTGGCCGGCAGCAGTAACTTCGTTCCGGGGATGATAGAACCAGTTGGGAATCATATGTACAGATGTGCGAGATTTGTTTTGAAACAAATTTAATCTATTTGACTGAAATTATGTAGTTATTCTTCTATATAATTTTACTAGTATATAAGTCGGAGCATGGCGAATCGGTGGACTATATACCATATGTATATACATATATATAGCTGCTATAGGAACAATCGGAAAAAGTTAAGAAAAAAAATATAACTATTCCAGTTTTCAAAAGATTTTCATCGAATTTGATATATAGCCATTATATATTAACATAGAATTTTGTGTTAAATTTTATGAAAATCGGACTACTATATCATATAGCTGTCATACATTACTTCATTGTTTCTTCACATAAATATATATAATTGAAATTGTAGTAATTTCTGCAAGGGTAGCTTTTTCTATCTGAAAGGTAGCTTCCTTTCTTGTTTCAATTATACATATTAGTTTTATATTTCAAAACAGAATAGAGATTTATAGAACACTTTTTGCAGTGTTAATATAAACATTTTTATAACTAGATCATATAATAATAAATTAATTTCCTAAACACCTAATAAATCACGTCTTACCTTATTGACCATCACCAGTCGCATTTCCACCAGGTAGGTGAAGCAGGTAAAGACCGTTATGGACATGGCTATAACCGTGTGCTGGATGAGGAAGGTAAAATGCAGGGCAATGGTGGGTCTAACCAGCGAGGAATACAGCACGGAGAAGGTGCCACAGGTGAACAGAAAGTTAACCACAAACATAGAGATCAGAATCATATAGCTAAACCGTAGCACCTTGCTGTACATAATCTTAATTCCCATCGTTTGCAGCTGGACATCCATGGTGTGGAATTTCTGAAGGCATCGCTCCAACCGATGATTTGGTATAATAGCCGTCAGATAGATGACAGTGACACCAATGAAACCACTCACAATCTGCATCATATCCCCGAAGTAGGTAATCCGTGAACGAAAGAAATAACTAGCAACCGATTCGCAATTGTTGTAGATAGTCAGGCTATAGCACACAGTATATAATCCGATGTGCATCAGTCCATTTAGATATCCAAAGATAGTTCTCTTGATACTTCTGCATCCCGTTTTGCTATCACAACTCAGGTAAAACGAGGTGAGACCATGGATATAGGTAATATGAAACAGTGGACGAAGACACTCATAAAGCTGCTTGGCACTTAAAAATCTCCAGAATCTGCGACGTAAAGGCTGACAAAATCCTGTGGCAACTTCTATTTCCACAGGATCCACGGATGACGTGGTCATGGTATCCTTTGCCCTTTCTATATCCATGTCCGCTTCGTTTGAGCTCCAGCCGGCGACTGACGCCGGGACCGCAAATGATTTGCATTTTACTAGGAGGACCTCCTCGTGAGGTGGGGCCAAAACAAAAAGTAAATAATTTTCCCATTTTTATACGCGTACTCCGGGTCTAGACCGAACCCCTCGCCGCTGTCATGTTGCGACCATTAACCTATTAGCTTAAGCTGTTGCATTTTAATTAATGTCTCTGACCGTCAGGGGAAATAATTCCCCAGAGTAAACCAACGATTTCCCTCTTAACATATACAGGGAAGTTCCTTTTTTTCGGATCAATGAATGGCTTACTCTTTATTTTTTTGGCCCACTTTTCTTGAAGAGGTTCTCCCCGCCATAAGCCTAATTAATTTTATGGTTTCCATGAAACGCACAAAAATGAATTTATGTCAATTGTTCAGCAGGACATTATGTTTATTATTATGTATGTAGCATGTCCTTTTGTCAGATGAGATTTGGTTAGTTAGGCGTGAGTTACTGAGCTGCCATAAATATGACATAGAAAATAACTCATTATTAGTTATGAGGGTCAAACGGGGTTATCAGTTGATTGAAATAAGTCTTAGGATGGGTATAAAATGTTTGGGGAATTTATGCAGAGTGAAATTATTCTTGGAAAGCTAAGTAATTTGAATATTTTTGTCCTTGAACAAAAATGAACTCGGGTAAAAGGGGAGTAAAAGAATAATTGAATATGTTTAAGAATCCTTTCGTGAAAGAGTTTTCTTGTATATGTATTATAAGAGCTTTCCAAATAAGTATTGCTGGGAATAATTTATAAAAGTATATAACAACTATTTAAAGATTTAATCAGAGCTTTAAAAAAATGATTCAATGAATTATTCATTGTCACTAAGAATAAAAAATAAACTAAATGGGAGTTAAGGAAATATTGAATATGTAAATATGTACCTTCCTGGGAATAATTTTTAAAAGTAAATAAAATGTGAACTACTTTTTTAAAAATGATTCTAATTAATTAATTCTAATTCAGTAATTTATAAATTTCCTACAAATTATTCAACTCAAGCCTCTAAGTAGGCAACATATTTTTAGCGGAATTTATTTCCTCTCAATCGGAAATTAATTTACTTAGACGAACGAGAAATTCAATCCACTTTTCCCCATAACAAAACTGACCACACTTGTTGACCAAATAGTCTAGGCCTAGTTATTTACCTTTTCCTCCACCCAAAAAAAGAGACAGACTTAATTAATAAATGTCTCACAGGGAATCATAACCAACGGATCTATGAGCATTGACAAGTCTTTTTATATAAATGAATTTTTCGCACTTGATTTGATTTGTGACTGAGCAATACGGTTGATGGAATAACTACCGGCAAAATGTAAACATTCGCCTGTACACTCACCTGATTGATGATACTGAGTCGTCGCTCGAAACTAAATGCAATCACGCAGAACAAACAAATCGCAATGGAAACGACGGTATGCTGAAGGAAGAATGTCATGCAGACACAAAACGATGGCGTGACATTCAGGGAGACCAGCAGCCGGAACACTCCCACGAAATACACTCCCAGAATTAAGAGTTTGAAGACCAGAACCAATATAGAGTACCGAAAGATCCTTGAGTACTTGACCCTTATGCCGATGTTCGAGAAATTCGTATCCAAACTGTGCAGTATGGTTAGAGTTCCCAGCAGTTTGCATCGCTTCAATATGGCCGAGGTGTAGATCACAGCTCCTGCTATAAGGCCATTGAAAATCTGCAATCGATCTCCAATGGTGGAGATCTCTGTGCGAAAGAAGTAACCCACAATGGACTCTCCCTGGCGCAGCGATGATATATAACAAAAGCCACACAAACATATGTAAATGAAGATATTAAAGACACCAAAACAGGACATCTTGAGATACGATTCGCCCATCTTTTTCTTAACCACATGGAAGGGTGTTAGTCCGTAAAGAAAAGTCAGAAAGAAAAGCGGACGCAGAGCTTCGTACACCTGCGAGGATATAAAGTATTTTCGCACTCGTCGTAACGCGGACATAATGGCGAAATCGAAGCTATATACCGGAAACCGGAAATGAAAACAAAACACAGCGCAAAGCACAACCGTTCGGGTGAAGGAATCAACGCGAACTGACTGGCAAATGGCAAAAAAAAAAAAAAGGAAAAATAGCGAATGCCAAGCGAAGGATGCAAACGAAGTGAGGACGCCATAAACGACAGGACGAAAAGGGAGCAGGGAAAAGAGGAGAAGCTAGGTTGAAGTGGTGCAAAGAGGATATAAAAATATAGAAAACAAATGCCGTCTGCGGAAGTTGTATCCGGCGCCAAAGCTCATTATTACGTTGTCTAGGATTCCCAACAACAAGTGGCATTCGATAGCAACAAGTGTTTTTTTATTCACTCATTCCAATTTAATGTCAGTGTTGGCGATTTGTTTAAAACATATCTATAACTTATTTCTTTAAAAAAGAGTTATTTTTATACCCTTGCAGGGTATTATAATTTCAGTCAGAAGTTTGCAACGCAGTGAAGGAGGCACCTCCGACCATATAAAGTATATATATTCTTGATCAGGATCAACAGCCGAGTCGATCTAGCCATGTCCGTCTGTCCGTCTGTCCTTCTGTCCGTCTGTCCTTCTGTCCGTCTGTCCGTTTCTACGCAAACTAGCCTCTCAGTTTTAAAACTATCTTAATGAAACTTTGTAGTTAGCCTTCTATATACTCTCACTCATATATATGTCGGAACGGGCCAAATCGGACGACTATATCATATAGCTGTCATAGGAATGATCGGAAAATTTTTACAAAAAAAATTATAACATTTTCAGTTTCAGCAGATTTTTATCAAATTTGAGATATAGCCATTTTATTATACTCTACAATTCTGTGTAAAATTTTATGAAATCAAACTACTATATCATATAGCTCCCATAGGAACGATCGAGAAATTAATACAATTAAAAATTACAACTATTTCATTTTTAAACAGATCATCATCAAGTTTTTTGTGTAAAATTTCATGAAAATCGGACGACTGTATCATATAGGTGCCAAACAAACGATCGTTTGGTGTAGAGGAAAAATGCAATTCTGTGAACTGCAAATATAATATGCTTAGGTGAATGAAATGAAAACAGGTGTTACTTCATTGTTTTTAATCATAATATATATAATTTATATTGTAGGGATTCCGAGTCATAGAAGTTCAAGGTAAGTACACTAATCATATATTAAAAACTTATTTTATATGTTCGTCAATTTTTCACCATTTTAACGATACCCCTTATAAAAATTTAAAATTGTCAAAAAATTTGAAAAAATTAAATTTATGCCGGACCTGGCTAGATCGATTCGGCTGTTGATGCCGATCAAGAATATATATGATTAATAGGATCGGAAATGACTCCTTCAATAAGTTTCAAGCTTTCGACTGAAATATAGGCTTTGCTTAATTATTTGGTACATAGAGCGCTCTCCTCTGCGATTCTCAAGTCTTATACTTAAGCAAGGCCCTAGCTAGAGGAAGTTTAGTTTTCTTCTTCTTCTTTTATATAAATTACTAATTTAGTGCTTGGTGGTTGATAGACTTTGATCAAGTGGATGTGGCAACCATGGCTAGATCGAGTCGGCCGTTGATGCTGATCAAGAATATATATGAATAATAGGACCGAAATGACTCCTTCACTAAGTTTCAAACTTTCGACTGAAAGATAGGCTTTGTTTAACTATTTGGTACATAGAGCGCTCTCCTCTGCGATTCTCAAGTCTTATACTTAAGCAAGGCCCTAGCTAGAGGAAGTTTAGTTTTCTTCTTCTTTTTGTGTGTTTTTTATATAAATTACTAATCTAGTGCTTGGTGGTTGATAGACTTTGATCAAGTGGATGTGGCAATCATAAAAATTATAGTTTTCTTAATTAAGGTAGGACGTTAATAAAATATCTCTTGATAATTGAAACCAAAACAAGGCCCAAAAAGCCAAGATACATGAAAATATGGTTTATATTAAATTATTGTTTAATTACCATACCCTTGGCCGTGTTGACTAGCTTATTATTGATCACGAAAAGTCTTCCAAGCTCTCTTTAAGAGCCGTGTTGATCATGACGAGCGGAGATATGGTGTCATTTATTTGTTTATGGTAAAGTATACTTAACTCCCGAAAATAGTTTATTCAGCACAACTTACTAAACAAAGAACACACAGTGGTGATGATCGAAACTGCTCAATATGAAATATATATTAAAATAAGTTGATCTATATTTGTAAAGCAAATTTTTAAGAATTGGTATGCTTTTAAGTAACAGGAAGTTAACATATTTCAAGCAATGCTTGTATATAATTTTTTGCAAAAGTAATTCTTCACACAAAAACCCGCTCAAAAAATAAGGATTTTAAGCTTGCTAATATAAGCCTATTTAGGATTTTTTTTCCTATTTGTTTCCTTTTCTTTTTTTATACCCTTGCAGGGTATTATAATTTCAGTCTGAAGTTTGCAATGCAGTGAAGGAAGCACCTCCGACTATATAAAGTATATATATTCTTGATCAGGATCAACAGCCGAGTCGATCTAGCCATGTCCGTCTGTTCGTCTGTCCATCTGTCCGTTTCTACCCAAACTAGTCTCTCAGTTTTGAAGCTATCTGAATGAAACTTTGTAGTTAGCCCTCTATATACTCTCACTCGTATATATGTCGGAACGGACGACTATATCATATAGCTGCCATTGGAATGACCGGAAAATTTTACAAAAAAAATTATAACATTTTCAGTTTTCAACAGATTTTCATCAAGTTTGAGGTAAAATTTCATGAAAATCGGACGACTGTGCAAACGATCGTTTGATGTAGAGGAAAAATGCAAATCTGTGAACTGCAAATATAAATATGTTTAGATGAATGAAATGAAAACAGGTGTTACTTCATTGTTTTTAATCATAAATATATATAATTTATATTGTAGGGATTCCTAGTCATAGAAGTTCTATATGCAAGGGTAT